CCTCCGCGATCGCCGGCTGCCCCTGGGACCCTGTCCCCGCGCAGAGGGCCTGGGAGAAGCGGAAGTCAGGACTCTGCTGCAGCGCTCTGTGCAGAGGCTGCCTGCCGGCTGGACGCGCGTGGAGGTGCATGGGCTGCGGAAGCGGAGACTGTCCTACCCTCTGGGCGGGGGCCTCCCCTTTGAGGAGGGGTCCTGCGGCCCTGAGACGCTCACTCGCTTCATGCAGGAGGTTGCCGCCCAGAATTATCGCAACCTGTGGCGCCATGCATACCACACTTACGGGCAGCCGTATAGTCACAGCCCTGCCCCCTCAGCTGTCCCTGCCTTGGACTCAGTACGGCAGGCTCTGCAGAGGGTCTATGGTTGCCCCTTCCTGCCGGTGGGCGAAACTCCCCAATGCCCATCATATGCCAGAGAAGGCCCCTGTCCCCCTCGGGGCACCCCTGCTTGCCCTAGTCTTCTACGGGCTGAGGCCTTGCTGGAGTCGCCGGAGATGCTGTATGTGGTACACCCTTACGTGCAGTTCTCCCTCCATGACGTGGTCACCTTCAGCCCTGCCAAGCTGACCAACAGCCAGGCCAAGGTGCTGTTCATTCTCTTCCGCGTGCTGAGGGCCATGGATGCCTGTCACCGCCAGGGACTGGCGTGCGGGGCCCTGTCTTTGCATCACGTCGCTGTGGATGAGAAGCTTTGCAGCGAGCTGCGACTGGACCTGAGTGCTTACGAGAGGCCTGAGGAGGAGGAGAATGAGGAGGCCCCAGTGGCAAGGGATGAGGCGGGCATTGCGTCTCAAGGGGAGCAGGGAGGGCAACCTGGGCAACCCACCGGCCAGGAGGAACTTCGGGGCCTTGTGCTAGATTGGGTGCACGGCCGCATCAGCAACTTCCACTACCTCATGCAGCTGAATCGGTTGGCAGGTCGGCGGCAGGGGGACCCCAACTACCACCCCGTGCTGCCCTGGGTGGTGGACTTCACCACGCCGCATGGGCGCTTCCGAGACCTGCGCAAGTCCAAGTTCCGCCTCAACAAGGGAGATAAGCAACTGGACTTCACCTACGAGATGACGCGGCAGGCATTCGTGGCAGGCGGGGCGGGCGGCGGGGAACCCCCTCACGTGCCTCACCACATCTCAGACGTGCTCTCCGACATCACCTACTACGTGTACAAGGCTCGGCGCACGCCTCGGTCGGTGCTCTGCGGCCACGTCCGCGCGCAGTGGGAGCCCCATGAGTACCCGGCCAGCATGGAGCGCATGCAGAACTGGACCCCCGATGAGTGTATCCCAGAGTTCTACACCGATCCTTCTATCTTCCGCTCCATCCACCCTGACATGCCTGACCTGGACGTGCCAGCCTGGTGCAGCTCCAGCCAGGAGTTCGTGGCTGCGCACCGAGCCCTGCTGGAGAGCCGCGAGGTGTCCCGGGACCTGCACCATTGGATCGACCTCACGTTTGGCTATAAACTCCAGGGCAAGGAGGCAGTCAAAGAGAAGAATGTGTGTCTGCACCTAGTGGACGCCCACACTCACCTGGCCAGCTACGGGGTGGTGCAGCTCTTCGACCAGCCACACCCCCAGCGCCTGGCTGGGGCTCCTGCCCTTCCCCCTGAGCCTCCCCTCATCCCCAAGCTGTTGGTCCAGACCATCCAGGAGACCACAGGCCGGGAGGACTTCACGGAAACCCTGGGACAGCTTCCAAATGAAGTGGGCCGGCCAGTTTTAGAAGCCACTCCCTGTGAGGCTAGCTGGACCAGAGACAGGCCGGTGGCAGGAGAAGACGACTTGGAACAGGCCACAGAAGCTCTGGATTCCATTTCCCTTGCTGGGAAAGCAGGTGACCAGCTGGGCTCCTTCTCCGGTCAAGCGTCCCCTGGCCTTCTGTCTTTCTCAGCCTCCCGTCCAGGCCGCAGGAATAAAGCTGCTGGGGCAGACCCTGGGGAGGGCGAGGAGGGGAGGATTCTTCTTCCCGAGGGCTTCAATCCCGTGCAGGCCCTGGAGGAGCTGGAAAAAACGGGCAACTTCTTGGCCAAAGGCCTAGGGGGCCTGTTGGAGGTGCCTGAGCAGCCCCGGGTCCAGCCGGCTGTGCCACTGCAGTGCCTGCTTCACAGGGACATGCAGGCGTTGGGTGTCCTGTTGGCGGAGATGGTGTTTGCTACCAGGGTGCGGACGCTGCAGCCCGATGCACCTTTGTGGGTACGCTTCGAGGCCGTCCGGGGGCTCTGCACACGCCACCCCAAGGAGGTCCCTGTGTCTTTGCAGCCCGTGCTGGACACACTCCTGCAGCTGAGTGGCCCCAAAGTCCCCATGGGAGCAGAGAGGAGCAAGCTGGACCAACTGTTTGATTACAGGCCTGTCTCCCAGGGCCTGCCGCCACCCTGCCCAAGCCAGCTTCTCAGCCCCTTCAGCTCCGTGGTTCCCTTCCCGCCCTACTTCCCGGCGCTGCACAGATTCATCCTCCTGTACCAGGCAAGGCACGTGGAGGACGAGGCCCAGGGGCGTGAGCTGGTGTTTGCCCTGTGGCAGCAGCTGGGCGCAGTGCTGAAGGACATCACCCCCGAGGGCCTGGAGATCCTGTTGCCCTTCGTGCTGTCACTTATGTCCGAGGAGCACACGGCTGTGTACACTGCCTGGTATCTGTTTGAACCTGTTGCCAAGGCACTGGGCCCCAAAAATGCCAATAAGTACCTCCTGAAGCCTCTCATTGGTGCCTACGAGAGCCCCTGCCAGCTACACGGCCGCTTCTACCTGTACACGGACTGCTTTGTGGCCCAGCTGATGGTGCGGCTGGGCCTGCAGGCCTTTCTCACTCACCTGCTGCCCCATGTCCTGCAGGTGCTGGCAGGCGCGGAGGCCTCCCAGGAGGAGAGCAAGGACCTGGTAGGGGCTGCTGAGGAGGAGGAGAGCGGGCTGCCCGGGGCCGGGCCTGGCTCCTGTGCTTTTGGGGAGGAGATTCCCATGGATGGGGAGCCTCCTGCCTCCTCGGGCCTGGGGCTCCCAGACTACACGTCTGGCGTCAGCTTCCACGACCAGGCTGACCTCCCTGAGACAGAGGACTTTCAGGCCGGGCTCTATGTAACTGAGTCTCCCCAGCCCCAGGAGGCTGAGGCTGTGAGCCTGGGCCGGCTAAGTGACAAGAGCAGCACCAGTGAGACCTCCCTGGGTGAGGAGCGGGCTCCAGACGAGGGGGGCGCCCCCGTGGACAAGAGCAGCCTTCGATCAGGCGACAGCAGCCAGGACTTGAAGCAAAGCGAGGGCTCCGAGGAGGAAGAGGAGGAGGAGGACGGCTGCCTGGTGCTAGAGGAGGAGGAGGGGGAGCAGGAGGAGGTCACCGGAGCATCTGAGCTCACTCTGTCTGACACGGTGCTGTCCATGGAGACGGTTGTGGCCGGCGGCAGTGGGGGAGATGGGGAAGAAGAGGAGGAGCCACTGTCGGAGCAGTCAGAAGGCAAAGAACAGAAGATCCTCCTTGGTAAGCTCCCAGGTCTGGGAGGTGTTGGTCAAAAACACCTCCTGCTTCTCCCTGCACACTTGCAGAGCACCTGCTCTGTGCCAAGCAGTGGATCGAGCCAGGGCCACCTGCAACACAGATGTGGGTTTGCCTTCACGGAACTCACACCCAGCAGACAAGATGCGGCAGTGTAGACGGTCTTAAGCAAGTGTATTATGTTAGTGCGATAAAGAACACGGCTTCGTTCCTAGGAGGGAGTGGAACATGGAGCTTTTCAGGGGCGCCGTGGCTCACGCCTCTAATCCCAGCACTTCAGGAGGCCAAGGCAGGCAGATCACCTGAGGTCAGGAGTTCGAGACCAGCCTGGCCAACATGGTGAAACCCCGTCTCTACTAAAAATACAAAAATTAGC